TGGTGGTGGACGAGAACATGCAGCTGGAGCTGGTGAGCCTCAAGCAGTGCTACTCGGGCTACAGCGACGAGAGCGACTCGGCCACCGTCTATGACAACTGCGTCTCCTCGCCCTACGAGTCGGCCATCGGCGAGGAGTACGAGGAGGACGCGCTGAAGCGCGACTCTGTCTGCCTCTCGGAGGACTCCACCCCCGAGGCGGACATCCACTTCTCCAAGAAGTTCCTCAACGTCTTCATGAGCGGCAGGGCACGCTCCTCCAGTGAGTGCTGGGCACCAGGGGGGAGGTGGGTTGGGTGGCTACCTGCCTGGCCAGCCCTGTCCGTCCCTGGTGAGCCACCGGCAGGTCTGCTTGCCGCAGCCTGGGGCTTCCTCCCTGGTGGCTGGGGAGGTGTTGGGGGCAGGGGGAGAGGGGAACGTCTGGAAGCCTTTCAGCCTGCAGGTGCAGGTGGCCAGAAGTGTTTCAGGCTTCTTTGTTTTGGCTCTCCTGAGGTATGGCCATGCTGAGGGGAAGGCTGAGTGGTCTCTCAGGAGGACAGCATCCCTTCTGGAGGGGCGCCAGTCCCACTGCTGGCACTGCCTGTCACAGCTGTGCAGGGAGGTCATGGTCCCAGTGGGACCACCCAGCACCAGTGCAGTGGCTCTAGCTGTGTCTGTCTCTTGTGTGGCACCACGTGGCTTCATCTCAGCCAAGCCACCCTCCAGGAGCATCAGTGTCTGGTTTGGCTTGATGTCCATCCCTTGGTTGTGCTGCTGGCCCCTCAACACTTAGATGTCCTTCTCTGCCTGTGTCCCCAGGTGCCGAGTCCTTCGGGTTGTTCTCCTGCATGATCAACGGGGAGGAGCAGGAGCAGACCCACCGTGCTGTCTTTAGGTGAGCTTGCAGGTGGGAGCAGTGTCCCCAGCCTTTTATGGAGCAAAGCCGGTGCTGCACTCCCACCACGGTGCAGCCAGCCCAAATCCCAATCTTTCCAGCTTTGGGGAAGCCCTAGGGACCAAACCACTGCCTGTAGCTTGCCATCTGCCCAGGCTGCTGCAGAGGCAAGACCTCTGAGGGCAGCTGGGACCTCTGGGGAGCAGCATGGGTGGTGCTGCAAGGATGCCCTCCTCACCTTAGGCGCCAGGGTGCTGCCGCCTTTAGAGTCTAAACCTGCTTAGATGCTTTGTTCAGCATCTCAGGTGCCCCTGGCTAGTCAGGGTGCTGCCTGCCTGGTGCTAGTGCCTCCCTGCTCAGGTTCGTGCCTCGCCACGCGGATGAGCTGGAGCTGGAGGTGGATGATCCTTTGCTGGTGGAGGTGCAAGCAGAAGACTATTGGTATGAGGCCTACAACATGCGGACGGGCGACCGGGGCATTTTTCCTGCCTACTATGCCATCGAAGTCACCAAGGACCCAGACCACCTAACAGGTACCAAGCCTCTGTACTCAGCCTGCTGCTCTCCACCTCGCAGAGCCTGGGGTGGAAGGAGGACCCTGCTGAGCACCCAGCAGGGACCGATGGGCAGCTTCTGGTGTGATGCTGGGAGCTGGGAAATCTTCCCTGGGCAGGGAAAGGTGCAGGGATGGGAATATGGAGAGGGGATGTGGAGGGACCATCCTCACTTCGTGCTCTTTCTTCCAGCTCTGGCCAAAAGCAGCGACTGGGTGGACCAGTTTCGAGTGAAGTTCCTTGGCTCAGTGCAGGTTCCCTATCACAAGGGCAACGACGTGCTGTGCGCGGCCATGCAGAAGGTACCGTCCCACCCCAGCCCTGGGAGCAGGAGTGCCTGCTCCTCCTGGAGGGGAGAAGGGGCAGGGAAGGGTGTAGCTGCTCACAAGCCTCGGGGCTTGGCCTCTCTGTCTTTCCCCCCTCCCAGATTGCCACCACCCGGCGCCTCACTGTGCACTTTAACCCGCCCTCCAGCTGCGTCCTGGAGATCAGCGTGCGTGGTGTCAAGATTGCTGTGAAAGCTGATGACTCCAAGGAGCACAGCAAGGTGATGCTCCTCTCACCCCTTCCCTGGCTGCTGCCCTGTGCTACAGGGCACGTTTGCATATAGAATCACAAAATCCCTTTGGTTGGAAAAGATCTCTAAGATCACCGAGTCCAGCCATGAACTCTGCTCTACCAAATCCACCTCTAAGATGTATCTTCAAGCCCCACATCTACAGGGCTTTTAAACCCTTCCAGGGATGGCTGCTCCACCACCTCCCTGGACAGCCTGTTCCAAGGCCTGACAACCCTTTCAGTGAAAAAGTTCTTCCTCATGTCCAACCTAAACCTCCTCAGGAGCAGCTTGAGGCCATTCCCTCTTGTCCTATCCCTAGTTACTTGTGAGAAGAGACCAAAACCTGCCTCTTCCTTCCTCATCAATATATGAAAATCTTCTCACATCCACATCTGTGGGTGTGAGAAACACCATCAGCAGGGTTGTAGGCCCACCTCAGGGTCCCTTGTGCCCCATGGGCTCCCAGCCTTGGGCTGTGCCAGTGTCTGATGCCCAGCTGCCAAGCACATCGTTGTGCTGGGGTGCTGCGAGCTGAGCCGTGCCAGTAATCTGTCAGCTGCTCCTAAACCTTTCTGCTGCTATTTTAAGAGGTGTCCTCCAGATCTGCCCTGTAATCTCCTTAAATCTATGGCAGGCTGCTGATTAGCATTCTGCATAAGTAGCCTTAGAGAAGCCTGGCAAGGTGCTGGGCAGAGCAAGGGCTTTGGAGCAAGCTGTTGGGAAACCTCCCGCAGCGGTGGGGGTGGGAGTAGTGCACGGCTCTGAGTGGTGTGACTGAGAGTTGGGCTGGGGTTTCTACAAGTCTTGCTTGGATCTAGAGGATACCATCGATTTAGTTGCTCTTTAAAGGCATGTAACTCCCTTCTCGTTTCTGGCTGAGACCCTTTGAACACCCAGGCTTGAATTTAGTTCTGAATTATCCATTCTCCTTCTCTCCGCTGGTATTTCTAAGAGCTTTTTTTTAGCAAGGGAAGGTCCATGTGTGCTGGGTGAACAGCAGCACTGCTTCTAGCTTGAGTACAGCCTAACCTAGGGCCTCCAGGGAAAGCCCAGGGGAGCTGCTGGAGGCACAGGCAGCCAGGGTGGGAGCCAGGAGAGCTGCCTGAAGAGCACCCTGTGTGCTGGTGCTTGAGGCCATCCTGCGGCTGCGGCTGGATCAGGCTCCAGTTCATTTCATTGCTCAGCCCGAGGGCTTATTTCCAAGGGCCAGAGCCTGGCTGCCCCTCAGGGCAGTGGGAAGGAAAGCTTTGATGTTTCTCTCCCTCTTCCCCCACAGGTAAACAAGTGTAGCCATTTTTTCCAGCTGAAGAACATTTCCTTTTGTGGGTACCATCCAAAGAACAACAAGTGAGTAGCAGGGGGGAGCAGGGCAGCTCTCAACACCAGCAGCTCAGCACGAAGGCTTTGCTGCCTTCCTGCTGCCTGGGGCAGCATGATTTGGGCTGGGAAGGGAAAGGGGGGCTTCCCAGCACCCAGGTCCTGAGGGCTTCCCTTTTCCTGTGAGCCCAGCACTGCAGCTTCACACAGAAGCAGCCTTTGGATGGGAATTACATCCCTGCTCTGGCCATGGGCCATGGCAGCTGGTGGCCACTAGGATTGGGAGGAGGTGCAGGTCCCACACCTCAGGGAAGCTGGGGTACCTGTGCCTGCTTGTCTGCTGGTCCAGTCACACTCTGGCTCTCTGCTCTCAGATATTTTGGGTTCATCACCAAGCACCCTGCTGACCACAGATTTGCCTGTCACGTCTTCGTCTCGGAGGAGTCCACGAAGCCACTGGCAGAGTCTGTAGGGTGAGTCCTGGCTGGGCAGGGAAGGCTTGCTCCCAAAAAGCAGGAGGAACAAGGCAGCCAGGCCCAATCCTGCCGTCTCCCCATACATGTGGGGCTGGGGGCTGGCCTCAGGCTGGCACCTCTTCCCACCTGTGAGAGACCTGGGGCAAGAGCCAGGATTGCCAGGGCTGCAGGCAGCATGTTCCTGACAACCCTGGAATGAGTCCCAGTGCAAGGCTTTGCAGGCAGATGGCTGGAAGGCAGGTGCTGGGCAGGGGACTGGAGCAAGGAAGGAGACCCTGTGGTGGTCTCCAACCACCCTGTGGCTCTGATGGCAGCTCTGGGTGCTAACGCAGGAGGGGACCAGGGGCTGGAGGGTCAAACTGGCCACAGGGTAGGGAGAGAGGGTGAGAAGGGCAGCCCTGTGGAGAGGAGGCTGCTCAGCTCTGCCCGGTGCTGTGTTGCAGGAGGGCTTTTCAGCAGTTCTACAAGGAGTATGTGGAGTACACGTGCCCCACGGAGGACATCTACCTGGAGTAGGGGCTGGCCCAGGCACCTCCTGCACAGCCAGGGCTGCAGTTTCGCCCCTTCCCAGCGTCGTGCATGGACAAGAGCTGCTTTGAGCCTGGAGAAGGAGGGGGCCAGGGGCAGGGCTCCCCGGCCCACGGAGCGCCCCCCCTTTTCGTGACTCCCCTTCCTCGGGCCTGGGGGGGGACGGGAGGGGGGAGGGCTGGACAAATTGTGTTTCTTGTACAAAATACTCTTAGTTTATTCTCTGGGAGGAGCACGCTCTGGGTGCCCCGCCTGGGAGCGTTGGGAGGGTGTGGAGCTGCACGCTCGAGCCCTTTCCTGCTGCAGGCTGGGGGGTGGTGGTGTCTCCTCCTCGTGACCGTGGCCCAGCTTCCCCTCACAGCCCTCTGGGGTGACTTTTAATGCAGAGGCAGAGTCAGGCTCTGGGTATGAAGATGCAGCAGCTACAGCAATCCAGACCCACGTGCTGGCTCCTGCCTGGGAGACGAGCTTGCCGTGAGTGGGCAACACCTCCCCTGCCAGGCCCTGGGGATGAGGCTGGCGGTGAGGCTGCGGGGCAGGAGCTCCAGTGTCTTCTCTGCCAGAGCCAGCACCAGGCTGAACTGAGAGAGCTCACCCCTGCCCCTGGTCGCTCCCCTCTTCTATCTGTGCCCCGAGGAGAGAGAACAATCTCTCCCCTACCTCTCTGGAGTAATTACATGCTGGGGAGGGGCCCCTTTCCCTGCCCCTTTCCCCCCCCAGCTGCAGGTGGCAGAGGCAGGGGCAGAGCTGGGCCACCCCAGGGAGGTGGGGCTCAGCCCCTGTGCAGAGCTGGGTGCTGCTGGCAGGGCAGGGAAGGGCTAAAAAACCTGCAGGGAGCCTGGCGAAGCAGCAGGGAGGAAGAACTCTCCCTCTTCCCCCCAACCAGCGGTCTCTGTGCTTCAGCTGGATCTGATGTGATGGCAACAATTATTAAATATGATGGTTCATGGAGCAGGGCTGCTGTGCTGTTTGTGTCCTGCCAGGGGACCTTGGGAGGGGCTGTAATCCCAGGAGGGCATCTTCTGCTCAGAGCAGGGCTTGCTTACCCCAACACCCTGGCCACCCAGGATTCCTAAACTTCACACCTCCACTGTCCAGCAGCAGCAGAGGGTCCCCGAGGCAGGGCTGAGGTGGGCAGAGGGGCAGGGCTGGCTCACAGGTGGCTATCTTCATAGTAGTCCTGCAAGTCCAGCTCGTCTCTCTTGCTTTTGCCAGCTCTGCCCAGCCCCGGTGGCCGCACCCGGCCCGGCCGGCTCCTCAGGTGAGGCTGCTTGGGCTGGATGCCGTAATCTGGGGGTGAGAATGGGGAGCCTGGGCTCAGCCCTGGGCTGAGGGCCACCAGCCTCATGGCTAGGGAGTTCAGAGGGGTGAGGAGCACGCCGTACCGTCCACCAGGCCAAAGTGCTGCTGTGGAAGCTCCAGGGGAGCAGAGAAGTCCTCGGGGACCGAGTAGCTGGCACTGTGGAGGAAAATGGGGACAGGAGTGAGCCAAAACCCCGTGGCACTTACCCATGCTGGCATGAGAGCTCCCGTGCACCACTTTGTCTTCTCCCAGCCTGGCCAGTTCTTGAGGGCTTGGTGAGTGCTAGCCCACACCCGGACCAGGAGCCTCGGGGGACCTCTGCAGGAACCAGGGGGAGGAGGAGGAGGAGGAGGAGGAGGGAAGCATCATCACCTCTGAGGCAAGGGCCGTGGGAGGGCAGCCCCCAGCAGCAGGGCAAGCAGCAGCAGCCAGCACAGCATGGTGCACCCTGATGCCAGTTCCACTGAGGTCACAGAGGAGCCACCCCGGTGGCCCTGGACACCAGCCTGGGTTGGGCAGGAGCCCAGCCCCTGCCCAGGTGCTGCTGCCTACCCCCTCTGGCTGTGGAAGCTCTGGTCCTGCCCCACTATTCAGCTCACAGCCCTTCTGCAGGGGTGCACACCCCTCCCATGCAGCCACAGCTCCAGGGCTGTTCCCCTGTCCCTCACCACTGTTTCAAGTGCTGAGGCAAGAAGGCTGTGACCCCTGCAGCCCCAATCCCTCAAGGATGGTTCAGGAAGGAATGCTCCTGTCACCTCCCTTAAGGCCAATGCACATGACATTTCCCAGCTCCCAAGCTCTGCAGAGCTGCCTGTGAGGCAACCCAGTGCCACCAGCTGGCTACCCCTTTGTTCTGGCCAAGGGAATCTCCACAGCAGCTCCCTGAGCAGATCAATGCCTCAGCAGTCCCCCCGTGAGCAGAGCAGATGTAAAAGGATGGCCGTGGCTGTCCAGGCCTCTCCTGGGCTCTTCATTAAGCGTGGCACAGCAGTAGTTGCTGAATTAACCTCTTAATATCATCTTTGCTCTTGGCCAAGCCCCCGAGCCCTGGCTGGCAGCCGTTCTGCAGGCCCTCTCAGCACACACAGCAGAGCAGCCTGCAAGCTGCAGCTCTCCATTCCTCCAGGGGAAGGCCAGGAAACTGGGGACTGAACCCAGCAGCTGGAGCTACACAACTACAGCCATCAGCTGAGCAACATGTGGGGCCCTGCCTGACACAGGGACAGACAGAAGTTGCTCATTGTGACAGCCAGAGCCCTGCTGGCAACCAGACACGTGCAAAGAGGGAGAGATCCTTCAGGTCAGTTTATTTGACAGACAAACCCGCTCCAAGCAGATTGGCCAGGCAAGGCCAACACAAGCAGGCTGCAGGTCATCCTCAGTGCCATGAGGTGGGAGACAATGCTCTCCAAAAAAAACACCACCCTGCCTGGCTTGATTATAGGTGCAGCTGTACAAAAGGAGAAGAATCAAGTGCTTTAAAAAAAAAAAGAGGTTGTCCCATCACCATCACTACAGCCACTGAACAGTCCAGAGAAAGAAGTAGCCCAGGGTTTGCTCCATACATGTGGTGTCCATCACTCACAGACAGACCTGTTAAAAAAAGTGACACACGCTCCCTTCCCCACTGTGCAGAACAGGAGCTTTTCATTGATGGTGTAACTGAATAGTAGACATCACCAACATCCCTCCCCCAAGCTGCCTGCCCTCCTTAGAAACGTCCAGCCATGATCTTAGCAGAGAAGAACCATCTTCTCATCAGCCCCAGTTGTAGAAATAGATTTTCTGCCAAGCAGGCAAGTAATCCATCAGTGGCCCTGAAATGAGAGAAGAGAGGGATCACACACACAGAGAAAGGCAAAAGCATGAAGCTGTATGTGTGTGGGGTATCACTCCCTTTCTTGTTACCATACCAAACAACCCCAAATCTCCAGTTACACAACTCAGATGAACCCTAGAATAAAACAGTTACTTTTGACAAGCTGGGAGACCACCTTGGGATGTGGTGCCAGAGATGGGAACAGGACCAAGCAGGGTGTGAAACACGGTCAGCAGAGCCACGTTGTGGGACACCACTCCCTCAGACCTCACACATCCAAGCTCCAGTGGGAAGTGGGGTCTACAATGTGCAAGGGGTAAACCCACGGGCAGTGAGTCAGGAGGACACAGCTGTGGCACAGGGAAGAGAAGATAACTCAGCAACAACGGGCAGGTGCAGACTCAGAAGTGACTGCTGTGGAGCCAGCCTTGTGATCTCCCCAAAGGAAGGACAATCCCACTATGCCAGGCTGATGTAGTGCCACATCACTGCCAGGAATCGTTCCACTAAAGGCTTTCTATCAGCAAGGGAGAGGGGGAGGCAGAATTCTGGTCCCTAACAAGGGGATCCTCTGGTGAAAGACTAGAAGACAGACCTGGTTTGGCCCTCTGATTTATGAATACCCTGGGCACCCATTTACCCATTGTGTCTGCACTGCAGACTGGGGACCAAGAAAAAAAGAGTTCAGAAACAGGGCTGCAGCCTGGGAGGGTACATGGAGCTTGAGCACTGTGGTCAAGTCAGGAAGCAAGTCATCCTTTCCTGTTCCAGTTTAAAACAACACGAGCATCAACCCAGGCTGCTCTGGTGCTAATGTTCTCGGGACTTCCCAATTCCTTCCACAAGTTGGAAACCAACTGACAGACCTTCTTCCCTAATTTTTCTCCACCTAACAGAGGTGGGGGTATAGCAGTGGGACCCACTTACGTGTGACAAAGCCAACTCCAGGCACATAGTCAGCCAGCAAGCGCAGGAGGAGGAGGATCCTGCCCCTAGGAAAGGAGGGACCATAAATGAGCCCAATGCCCCAGCTGTTGAATGCTCAAACAGCAATGGCCCAAATCGACCTGGTCACCAGACAGTTTCGGATCCCCAACACTGTGCTGAAAGGGAAATCTCCAGCCAGAGCCCAGCAGAGGCCCCTTACTCTGAGTATCGGTCGTAGAAGGGAGATCTCAGCAGGTAGTAGAGCAGCAGGATGGTTCGTCGCCTCAGCTCCGCTCGCTCCCGCCTGCTCAGGTCCTTCAGATCACTCAGCAAGCTCAGGCTGCAAGGAGAAGGGTAGAGAGCTCACTCACAGCAACAGCAGCCAGCAGGGAGAAGAAAGTGGGTTTCTACACGCCCTCTTTTCCAGCTCCATGCAACCAGCGAAGAGCAGAGAGCACTTAAAGTGTTGCAGAAGATCCCTAAATGTGTCAGTCTCCCAAATAAAGACCAGCCCCTGGTATTTCTCTCAGCAGGGCCTGCCAGGGATTAGGGAACAGGGAAGCGTGATGCTCAGCCACCACCAACCTCCAGCACCAGCAAAGACTCTTCCTCAGACTGACCTCGAGATGTCCAGGACTGCTGAGAGGAGCCAGGGTTTCCATGATCTCTGGCCCCACAACCCTAAACTCAATACTAGGAACACGCAGTCAAGGAACAGAAGGAACCAGAGGTGCCTAAGAAGAGGCACGTAGAACAATCCCCTGGGTGCCAGCAAAGCAGTGCACCCAGGCAGGGCAGGATACAGTGGAGCAGAGGCCGGGTGATGTAGAGGGATTCTGCGATGGTTTCTTGGAGGCCCAGAGGGGTGGGAGGCTGGTTCATCTCCTCTGCTCTTCGGCTCTGAGACTCCTCCCTCTGCTGGGGGGATCCCCAGTGCCTGGACTGCAGGGATGGGGCTGAAACAAGCAGATCAGGTCAGTAACCCAACTAAAACCTTCCTCACGCCACCACCCCGCCGCTTTCTGCACCGTGAAGGTGTGAAACAGGAAAGCTTGAAGAGGTGCACATGCAGCAGCTGCTGTGGCTGACTGGCACCCTCAGAACTTGGGGACAGAGCAGGGAGAGGTGCTCCTAAGGTCTGTGCTCCTCAAGGAGTAACCACGCTGAAGGGTCACCCTCGTTTCACAGTTCACTTGGGAAAACAGTTCAAGTGCTAGCCTTGCAGCATGCCCCTGTTGCTTTGATGTCCTCCCACCCCCAGGGCCCAGTGACTGGCAACACAAGGTCCTGCTCTTCACTGCCTACGTCCAGGTCACAGAGAAAGGGCACGGAGCAGGAAGAGCTCAGGCAAAGGCAGAAAACAGGCTCAGCTACTCACTGCTCTGGAGAGAGCGCACCACACGGCTGGAACGCCGCCCGACGTAGGTCTGATCCTTCCCTGAGGAGCTGCCTTCCATCTCTGCAGGAGAAAACAGCCACAGGGGTCAGGCTCCCAAGGAACACGCCCCACCTCAGAGCTGGCAGCACCCTTCCCTCCATCGCCATCAAGGGCAGACTGAAAAGTTTGCTCTGGTGCAAACCAAACCATCCTGAAAGGGCCAGCGCTGCACAGAGGGTAAAAGGCAGAGCTGCCTGATGTTGCCCAGGCCTAGGACCTCCTGCCTCACCAGACAACAAGGGGGGACAGTCTGCCTTGCTGTTCAGCCAGGGGTTCCAGGCTTAGACTCCTCCACCTCCTCCTCTTGTCCTGCAGGACAGCCCTGCCACTCAGCTGACTTATGCTCAGCAGAGGGTGGGAAGTTTTGTGCTCGGCAGCCTCACGGTTCCCCGTGCTGCCCAAACTGCTGCTCTGGTGAGTAATTCCTAGCAGGCCAAGAGGTGACAGCACCGTGGGCTCACCTTGGGGGTGGAGAGGCTGCTGCTGCTCCCTGTTCAGCGGCACGATGGGAGGAGAGGTCTGGATGCCAGCTCTGTACCACAGCAGGAGCAGGAGGCGGAGGATGGCTCTGGGAGCAGACACACGGAAGCCTTCAGCACCAGGGTCCCCGTTGTGGCTGGTGGCTTCCACAGAAGAGGAAAGGCTCAGGTCTGCCCAGGGCAACTGGTGAAGTGAGAGGGGCAGGGCTCCAAATTCCCCCAGGCTCAGGGACCAGCAGCTCAGTCCTGCTTGGGTTTTTCCCTGGGGTCCCCCCCAGATCCCCTTTCCCAGCGCACGCTGCCCGCTCCCCTCTGCCTGGGGCACTTACTTAGCCAGCTGGATGAGGACAATGATGGTCCATCGGCCCATCTCCCCCCAGACCCTGGCTGTCCCCATCTCTGCAAAGACCTCCACGCATTCTAGCACACTCAGCCAGGTCAGCAGCTTCTGCTGGGGCAGGGACTGCAAAACACAGAGGGGAGAAGGGGAACGGGATGCAGGTTCTGCTCGGGAGTTTAACAGGGCAGAAGCACAGCCCAGTCTGGTGGCACCCTCAGAAATAAGCACCACGTGGCCTGTCAGTCACAGCTCCAGAAGCAAAATGTGGTGCCTCTACTGCGGCCAGAGCCTACACACAAGCCCCCTTCCTTCTCTCCCTCCAAGGAGGGCAGGCTGAGACATCACAGTATCATGCAGAGCTGCTCCTTTAGAAGCAGGGAGAACACCCCAACCTTGGATTGCTCGCTACCCCAACTGACACAGCAGGACAATCTCCTGGGTTGTGGCAGTGTGCCTGAATTCCATGGCAAAACTCCCTCCTCCTCCTCACCCCACAGCTGGGACACACAACAAGCCTCCTCCTTGGTTAGAGTTGACAAGGGAATGTGCTTGGAGCAGAGGGACCGCCAGGGCAAACACGTAGCTGAACACAGGCATGGACCCCAAGACAGTGGGTGCTCCTCCAGCCTGGGTCTCTGCTCCCCACGTGGGAACTCACCAGTGCTGCCAACCACAGGATTTAACTCGTTGGAAAGCACCAATATCCACAACACAGTGAAATGCACTCTGTCCTTTTAACAGCCAGGGAAATGAGTCTTCTGCATTTGTTTGCCACACACCTGACACTTCAGGCAGGGCCCTGCTGACACCCAAACCCACACAGCAGGCAGGCTTGCAACAGAAGAGGTCTGTCTGGAACAAAACACCCTCCTCCTCACTCCCCAAAGGGTCTAAGCAACACTGGGAGCCAGCCTAGGGCTCTTGCAAGACAGGCACAGGAGCAAACTGCTTCTGTTCCTTTTGCTCAGTAGCATACACAGAGGAAGAATCTGAGGGATGGAATCAGAGCTTCAGGGCTCCAGAGCCACTGCTCTGCAAACAGCGGTGGTTGTTCAGCAGCAATTCTGCCTGGCTCAACTTCTGAGTTCTCAAAACAGCCTCTGGTGCAAGTCAGAGCCTGGTTTCTGTGGTCATGGGAGTGCTCTGGTCACTCCCCCAAGCCAGGGTTGCTGTTCACCTGCATCCAGAGGTTGCCTCTGCATACCTAGCAGCAGAGAGAGGCCACAAAGACCTGTTAATTTCTAGAGGCACTCCCTGAAAGCTCCTGCAAGGCAGAAAGCACACATCCCACACCCTGCCCCACGCACTCCGGCCTTACCCCGGGCAGGCTCCGCTGCAGCTCCTTGCGGAGAATCCAGTCGTTTAACAGCACCAGGAGGTTTGAGGCAGAGTACACTAGAAAAGGACAGCAACGCCGCCATGACGGGACGCACACAGAGCACCCCGAAACGAGGAGGGGAAGAAGGGCAGCGACCCCTCGGCCCCAGCCGGGCACGAAGAGGACAAGGGGGTGAGGGCAGGGGCAGAGACGGAGCCTCAGCC